CATGGCAAATGACTTTTTCAACTTATCGTTCAAAGAAAAATAATTCAATCTGCGAACACCAAAATGCTTATTCTTAAAAATACTGACGATAAAATGAATGCTATCAATGAGAGTGATTTAATTTCAGTCCATGGAACTATGCTGTATACAAACATTATTCATTATAACAATAGTTACAAATTTCCCCCACACTGTTAAACCTGAACAAATGCACTCCATAGAACTGAGGTACATGGTAGCATGCTGCCAACCAAACACACAAATAAAGAGCAATGTTAAACAGCCATAGTATAATGGACGAGATTGGACAATTGCCATGTGTCAACTTTGTGACTTTTGATTGGAAAATCAAGCGTAAAGGCTTAAAAGTATAAGCTTATAGAGTGACAAAACTTGACAACTCACCCTAGTTTTGCAGATTAGCACAACCTTGTCAAAGAGAAATATGTATCTGAAGTTGAAAAGAAAATAGTTATAAATGAGCTGATTACTACATCATAGTTATGTGGGACATCACAATTGATAAAATGGGATTTCTTTTCTAAATTGCATCCAATGATGGTTTGCCGAGCTTTGTCTTGATCAGGGAACTGAAAACTGATACATCAGATTCACTTTAAACACCATGAATTTAAAAACACAATTTATATAAACTACTGTTAGATTTTATTAGAAGTGCACCTCTGATATAAGTTCATGTTACGCAACCAATGATTACAGTGAATGTTAATGAAATTCACTAATCGACCACAGTCATCGTTATTACATTCAGTGGTACAGTACATCTAAAATATACTTAAAATGAAGCACTCTGTTCACACTGCATTACCAGATTAACAGTACACTACAGCAGAATCCAGAGTTGCAACGTGTCATTATTTAAAATACTTGTACATTTCCATTTCAAGTTAACAGCAGAGTTAACATTATGTATGACACCACCACCACCTCCCTCTTTCCATATCACATATATCCTGGTGACTTTAGGAGGTACAAATTAACTATCATTTCTATCCTAGATAGAATACAGTAAATAATACCACAGTACAAAAAGTTAAAAATCATTGTTAGCACAGTCTCTCATATGCCAGCCAGTCGGCTGAGATAGCTCCACAGCGGAGCTATTAAAAATTATAGATGTTTAAGGCAGACAAGAAAAATATTCCAAAATTACCAGGATGTTAGATATGTACAACCCCCTCAAAATGACATTCAAAATAGACAATAGACCATTTGTCTGCAATTTATTACATGCTTAGAATGTCTGTATAATCATGGAGCTAAAATCTTATTTTAGCTCCATGGTATAATGCACATACCTTGTTTTAACATCTGATCCTTTGTCATGAGATTTCAATCTAACTTCTCCATCCCGAGAAAGTCTGCCATACATTCGTAAATCAGGACCTTTATAGTCTTGCAGGCTACAATAAGATCAAATAAAGCAATGTAAAGGTTTCTACTAAAAGCACATCTTCAAAGAAATAGTGATGACTATACAAGTGGAAATTTTATCGTAAAGTTAAAGGCCCAATTCACTTGCCCCGGGCAAGTGTGAATTGGAGGTGTGACTATGCTAATGAGTGTTGTTAATCACTTGCATAGCCTATGACGCACCCTGTTTCAGCGGCCCAACATCACGTGACTTTGATTGACAGTAGTTAATTATTCCAGATTAGTAGCGTGTCCCTTTCCTCGGTTCGAGTTTTTGACTTTTATCCGCCAAAATCTCAGCTCGTACACTATTTATTGTCATAAATACTACATACAGTCACTGCTGTGATATTCATAGTCACATGCATCCACTTTGGCACGACATAATCGACCTGTAAGTTCGAGAAAACGCGCTATTACCGGGGCTTGGCTGGAGCTGTTTACTACAGTGTGACAAGCAAGGAAATAATCCCTATTGTTTAGGACCGTATTTATAGTATACCTGGGCCTTTAAGAAGTCAAAATTAGCAATTTTGCATAGGTTATTTTTCATCGAACACCTTTTTCCAAGCGGTTCATCAGCCATTACCCCCGGTATATAAATATCACAAATTTGTCTTTGTAAACAAAAAAAACGAATTTAAATTTACATGGTTAGAACAATATTTACAATGTAAATAAATTCAATTAAGAACTTTTGTTTCAAACAAATGCAAAATGAAATGCTTCCTGCATCCACATCATAGACAGTTTACCTGCATTGACCCACCATTCTGAAAGTATGAGTGTTCAACTTGCTACAACATTTATCTAAGCAAATAAATTGTCACACAAAAATTAATACTAATGAAAATATACTATGAGCAGACAAGCTGTAGAATATCACTCTGTTTACAACAAGATGACAGGCTGTGGAGGGACGAGACGAAGACGATTGGTTGGGGTTGCTTTACAGGCAAAATACAACACCACAGTAGTGTCATAAGGCCAAAAAAAAAAATTGTTTTGTTGCCCTCAGCCAATGACCGAAAAATATGAAATATCAGGACACGTCCCCTTCCCCATATACCTCGGCTATTTACGATACCCTTAGTTTTCACGAGTTTAAAAAAAAATATGACCGACCGACCCAATTTTTTCAATTTTCCGACTTGAGGGCAACATAAGTTTGTTTTTTTTGGCCTAATAGAATATACCAGACAAACATTTGCAGTTCTATATATCATACACATGTAATGTTAAATTAATAGTAACTCACGTTTTCTGAATTTCTGTGATTGTCTGAAGTGTATCATTGTCTCTCTTCACCTCATTTACATACATAGACAAGTCCTGCAATGAAAAGCAATTTGTTATTTTAATCTGTGAACTGGTATTCAGATATCAGAAAATTTTATAATTTTTGCACATTGTTAATGATTATATAATGATTTAAACTCTAATGTAATCATGTCGGCGTATTTTCGAAGGTCCATATGTGAAAATTTCAGCGAAACCTAATTAGTGGTTTGACATACACACATACACACACACACACACACACACACACACACACACATACATAGTAACCACAAATACTCCCATTATGTGCTTCACACATTAGAGTCAATAAATACATCATATTTAAAACAAAACAATTTGTAAAAGCGAAAAATATATGTGTATATGGCATATGATAATTATTATGTACAAGTCCACCTAGTCTCCAAGTCACTGACTCACTCACACACACACACACACACACAGCTTTCTAAATCTTACCTGCATAGATGTCAATGCAAACTGTAATTCTTTCTTATCAGGGTGTGTCTTGTCTGTGTGTCTCTCTAATTCCTGAAATCATCAACAAGCCATGCATTCCCCATTAGTTATCAAATCTAAGTTATATAGTTTTGTTTATGGTACGATTACTTGTCCAGTATACTAATTACTCACTCGCAACAAAAGATGATACTTCAAAATCCTCTGCATAGGAACACTTAGGAGGTCTCGCAGACGGAATTTACCCTCATTAGCTTTTCTCTGGCATTCCTACATGAAGATAAAAAATTGAAAACATGAAATGATGCCATGGATACAAGAAATGAAGAAAAAAATTGGACAAATACTAAACTAACTACCGGGGGGTACACCTTCACACCACAAA